ACACTCAATCCCCTCATCCAGATCATCAGTAAAGGTAGTAAATAGAACTGGGCCCAACACTCATCCCTGGGGGGGCACCATTAGTGACCAGCTGCCAACTGGACACAGCACAGTTCACTACCACTCTCTGGGCCCAGCAATCCAGCCAGTTCTTAAGCCAGCACAGAGTGCACCTGTCTAAGCTGCCAGCTTTTTCAGGAGTATACTTTGGGAGATGGTGTCAAAGGTTTTGCTGAAATCCAGATAGACCACATCATACGATTCATGGTGCCCACCAGGAAGGTGTAATGTGTTCTGTGAAGTCACAGGCTGACTACAGAGTTGTTAGAAGAGTAACTCAAAGATGTTACCATCTGTGAATTTACAGATATGTTTTTAACTACCACCACTGTTGTCAAGAAAGTGAGCATAGGTATATCTGTGTGAAGAGGTCTGTAGATCTGTAGCGTATATCATCTCTAACAGAAAGGTCCTTATGGGTAAGCAGGTAGTGACAATGCTATTTAAAAACAAAAAAAAAACAAACAAAAAAACCTACCACCAAGCGCATATTAACTGAAAGGATGCAGCCAAAATACTTAAGGTTTTATGTTCAAGGGTTGGACTTGATGATCTCAGAGGTCTTTTCCAACCTGGTTGATTCTATGACTCTATGCAAATCATGCTAGATAATAAAATGTTTCTTAAAGCTTACTGAAAGCTGAAGATTTTTTGGGAGAAGAGTGGCAATAATATTCAATGTCAAGAAGAGTTTGAGGTATTTTTTGTGTAGCTTTGGATTGCAGGTTCAAGTAAGAGAGAACAGAAAATCTGAGGAGTCCTTCTCCAACCGTGCTAAATTGTGTTCTTCATCTCTTTTACAGGAATAGTGTTTTCAGTGGGAAGTAAATTATGGGCACAAGTAAAATTCAGGTCCGAGTCTCAAAATTTAGTGGCCATGCAGGATTATCTGGCCAGTTCATAGGACATCTTTGTCTGAAAGCACTACATCTTGTAGATGAAAATGGTCCATGTAATCTGCCCCATTCTGAGAAATCCGGGACATATTCAAGACCTAAAAGGTTAATTTTCCCTCTGTCACCTGTATGTAAGTAACATTTCATTCTGGCCTCATTTGAGACTTAAGAAGACATGACACTTGGCTTCAAGCACTGTTCAGATGTCCCATTTGATGACACTTCTCAAGGTAGTACACATGCAAAATTCTATAGACCTTTTGCTCCACAAAAGGAGAATTTGATATTGCAACAAATGAAACATGAAAAATGAGCTCTGCCTGGTTCCATATGGTATATACTGGTCTTGCCTGAGACCTGGCATCAAGCACAGTCCATTCCTTTAGCTGAAGTGGCATTCCTGCTTGAAATTCAATACAGTGAGAAACTCAAAACCTAACAAGAAGTTGCTGACCTTCATTAAAAGTGTATCATCATAAATTATGCACTGATACAGTTTTCATTTCAGTCTGACACATGCCACCAGAGCAGTTTAGTACTGGTTGTGGCCACCCCATAGCTGGTAAAAGTGAATGATGTTGTCTGACCTGTCCCAGTTCCCTTATGAAGAAGGAAGGTTTCTTTTTGCTGTGCTTGGGATTAATGACTTTCTGATGCTACTGCAACAGCTGATGTTAAACTTCAGTAGAGATACTTTGCTTTATTCCTACAGCATGAGTAGTGGTTCTAAGTACCATTGAGGAGGTAGCTGTTTTGTTCTGCAGGATTTTTTGTTTTGTTTTTTTTTTTATTTTATTTTAAGGTGATGTCCCAATTGAGTATAGCTGCTAGTAAGCAGGTTATCTTCAATTCAAATAATCTAATAATCCCTGTATTGTTAAGGGGCATATATTCTGTACTTGAACTTTTTCTGGAAAATTAAGTTAATTAGTATTTTTTCTTAAAAGCTCTTCAAATTAGCTCTCATTTCTCCAACCTGTAATAGCTTTTACCTGTTAAAATTAGGACTTCATCTTCCTTGTATGGAATCCTGTTTAGAGTCAGAGTTGGAAACTAATGCTTGGCATTGTTTTAAAAACAGACACTAGTCATCAATGGGACATGGACTTCATTTTTTACCATGGTCTAGCCCTGTAATACTAAATCCAAGAATGATCAGTGGTCCAACACTGAAGGTAGCCTGTATCACTTGTAATGTAATCCTGCTTCTGCCTGGTTCATGTTTGGAGGAAAAAGGTAGCATTTTTTGTGGTAAGATGGGGTTTTTGTTTTAGAGGAGGTGGTTGTCTTGAAGCTGTTCAGAGGTTAGGAGTGCTGGCAGTCATCTGGGGAGGCAGGTTACTGGACTGAGCACAGGTGAGGAGGTCACAGGTGTAGAGCAACTACTTCTTTTGTTCCACTGCCCTGATGCTGGCCCAACCCAAGAAAGCTGGTTCAGAAATAACCTGTGTGTCTTAGGAGGACCATCATACTTCTCCTGTGACATTACTACTTGATCATCACAGACTTGCATGTGAGAATTGTTGTTAATTTAAGGAGAAGAAAACAGTGTTATCAACAAATATTCCCAGATGAACTATTTGGTAAAGCTTTAGCAAGTTTGCCTTAAAGTAATTAAATATTAATATACTAACATAGAGAGGAAGGGAGATAGCAGGTACCTGAGTGCTTTCAGGGGGCAGATGACTAACCAGGGCATGTGCTCATTTTACCTACAGTGCACTGAACTGTACTTGCCTACCTATTTTTATGAGTCTTTAAGGGATGCAGATTTTGGTTTAAGTTTGGTTTGCCAGTACGGCAGGAGACAGTCTTAAACACATAGACCTGTAATGTGTATGTAATTTTAATTGCCATCTTAAACTGAAATTTTGGGGTAAAGGTTCTCTTGGACTCGAAGGCACAGCACTGCTGTTCTTACAGTGCTGTGTTTCAAGTGAGGAAGAATTTAGATTCTAAATCTGAATCCCCAAGTTGTTTTCTTAGGACTGTCACAGAAATTTATCTGTGAATTGTGAGGGTGAGCAGGGCACAGCATGTGGTGATGAAAAACATCTCTTATGGACCCATACTTGACAAGGAAAAGGTATTTGTTGTGAACCTTCAGAATCATCCGTCAGAACTAGGTGAATGTAGATGGTGATCTTGATGAAAGAAAAGGAATAATACCTGGCTTTGGCTCTAGAAGTTGGCTTGTGCATTCAAAAGAGTAGACACTGCACTGACTGTTCACCAAGTGAACTTGAGAAGGTGCCCCCTCTGCAAAGTCACTGTCTTAGCTGTGAATACGCTTCCAGAAACGAGTTGGGAGCTTCTCACATTTGAGTGATTTTAAGGACTTCCAGTCCTGTGCCTTACCAGCCTCAATAACACAGTAAGGCCTGTGTAATTGGTACAGCTCTGAACAGCCTGGGAGGAGAGAGAAGAGGCAAATGTGAAGTTAAACACAACAGATTTGTTCAAGGAGTATCTTTATTTTACAGGAACTTTTCCTTTGGCGCCACCTTCTAGATGCCTTATATGTCTTCAGGGTTAGTATAGCCAATGTAGATAAGTTATAGGAGAATGAGAAATAGTCTTTCTGAAGTCTTCAAAGGACTTTTTCTAGCCCAAATAACTGTGTAGGATCATAGAATAAATTAGACTGGAAGGTACCTCTGGAGCCCAGCTAATCTAACACCCTGCTCCAAGGAGGCTCAGTTTGATCAGGTTGCCGCTTAGCACATTTTTTAGTGTCCTTTGATTAGTGTAACTTAATGTCACTTAACTGAAGTCTGTCAATAATATGCCTTGAATTTAGACTTGAAAATGAGACCTTGCAAGACATAGAAATGCAATTATAAGCTTGTTTTTACTAACACCTTTTTTCCTCCAACCTATGCAAGGTTAATTTATTGGAGAAAAAAAATCCTTAGTGGCAGTTCTGTAAATGTACTTTTGGATTATACTGCTTGTTTTCAACAGTAGAATAAACTGGAAGTCTGTTAGTTTATCTGAAAAGTGTTATCATGCTAAACTCCCCATGAAATAATTTTCCAGCTAGTGCATATTTCATGTTTAAACTATGCACAGTATTTTTAATGGGAAATACAGTGACGCAGTTTGTACACTAACAACTTCATGTCTTAAGTGTTTTTTATGCAAAGCACAACATGAGCTTCTTATATGGAATAACTTCTTTTACTTGGATGATTTAAAAGTGATTACTTTGCAGTGCCCTTGAAATAACTGCTAAAGAGACTGAAATATTTAAACATTTCCTTAAATTGCAGACCCTAGAAAGGCAGCTTTCCTATGGATCTTCCTCTCAAGGGCAGGAGTCCATATCCATTCTATGATGTTTAGCATACAGACTAGGCAGCAGAGCAGTTTCTCCCTACATCTCTTTCTGCCAGGCTGCTTGCTAACACAGAACCTTTCATTATCTGGCACTTCTAGCACTTTTTATTGCTGTCAAGTTCAGCTGAAATTAAGTAAAATATTCCAAAGAGAAAAGTGATGTACCAAGAGATGCATATCAACTAAATAACAAAGGCTAGGCAAAAAATGTATCCAACTACTCTCTTGCACTCTGCTATCATGTTTGTACCTAAGGCCTGCTATCAGTTAAGGCTATGTATTGAGTATTAAAATGCACCCTAATTCAGACTTTCAGGTTAGGAATACGCTCCTTGCCCACTTGAGATGTACGTGTAAAATTAGAATCCAATTCTGAAAATACAGACTCATGTCTAAGATGGTATATCAGGCCTGCAGCAAGTGATTGCATACTGCATAGCTGAAATAGGAGTTCAGACAGAAAAGGGTTTTTTTTCCCAAAACATGGAAGAAGTGTGGGTAGTAATTATAAACAACTCATTCATTCTGAATGTTGTGCTGATGGACATAAAGTGAAACAAAGGTTAGAATAAGTGGAAGAATTAATTTGATTTTTTTCCATATTATTAAGAGTGTGCCTTCACTGAACCAAATTTAAGTGTAAAATGCCCTGCAGATTGAATTATTCTGTTTGACTGATATACATTGGTACTGCTTCTCTTTCAGATGAAGTGGACTACAGCAATTTTGGGACCAACACACTATCGAGGAAGAAGAAGGCTCTGGTGACACTCCGCAATGACAACCTCCGACGGCGTCCTCACATTAACATTAGCATGCCTCATGATTTTAGACCAGTGTCTTCCATAATTGATGTGGACATTCTTCCTGAAACACACAGGAGAGTGAGGCTGTATCGACACGGGTGTGAGAAACCCTTAGGATTTTACATTCGTGATGGCACCAGCGTAAGAGTTACTCCTCATGGACTGGAAAAAGTACCCGGTATCTTCATCTCTCGTATGGTTCCTGGTGGCTTAGCAGAGAGCACAGGCTTGCTGGCTGTGAATGATGAAGTCCTGGAAGTTAATGGCATTGAAGTAGCAGGAAAGACTCTTGACCAAGTCACAGACATGATGATTGCCAACAGCCATAATCTTATTATCACAGTCAAGCCAGCAAACCAGAGGAACAATATTATTCGGAGCAGTAGGATGTCTGGTAGCTCTGGCCAGTCTACAGACAGCACTGCGAGTCACCACAGCTTGCCTACATCCCATGTGCTGCAGAACTTCCACCCTGATGAAATGGAGAGTGATGAAGAGGCTGACATTGTCATTGAGGGTGGTCTGGAGCCACAGCACATTCCTAAACTGCACAGCCTTACTTCCAGTAGCCTCTCTCGAATCAATGGCAGCAGCCTTAGCCACAGACTTCAAAGGGACCTGGTGCTGACCAACAACTCTGGCCGAGAAAGCAATGGCAACATCCACAAATTACTCAGTTCCTTAAAAACTGATCCCCGACACAGTCTGGTTATCCCCAGAGGAGGTATCGAGGAGGATGGAACAGTCATTACACTTTAGTAGCAACTTATGCAATTCTCTTTACAGTCTTAAGTGCCAATTGGGACAATTAACTCGTGCAACATGTTATGCACAAAACAGGGAGCTGATATTCTCATAGACCTCACGGGTGCAGAAAATTGTTGCTTTCTAGGAAACGTGGCATCTGGAGTTAGACATAAAACTGTCATGCACTGCAAAATTTGTCGGGAGAAAGCCAGAGTGCAAAATCTGGTTCATATCCCAGCCCTGAAGTGAGAACACAAATTTGTTTTAGTTGGTATAAATCTAAGCAGCCTTACCCATGGCAATGCTACATACTTTGGTTTGAATACATGGGTGGATGTATTAATACGTGCATGTATATGAATTAGATTTTAATAGTAACAGACATGTCTATTTGAAGTGGAACCTGGTTTTCTTCTAATACTGGCTTAAAGGGAGCGCTTCTTAACAGCCATCCCATCTTCTATTCTTACACACAGCCCTTCCGCTAACTTGTTTACACCATATTTTCAGCCTTATGTCTAATCCAGATAAGCTCTATATAAAAGTAGCTGTTTCCTACTTTGGGGGTAACAACGTTTGGGAGATGCTGCAAATACATTTTCCAAAGGAAACTGTAGATTCTATATATATAAAAATAAGTGGTTTTAGGGGCCCGAGGCGGCCGTGTGTAGGATGAAGCCGTGACTGCTGGGGCACGGTCGCCACCTGCGGGCCAGCGCTGGGAACGCGGGGAGGCACCGACACGGCGGGGTCAGCACCGCTGTGTGGTGGTGTATTCTTTTCCGATATTTATTAGATAATACCTCTTGGTTTTTTCCCCATCATCTCTTTTTTTTTTTCAAAATCATGGTTCATGTGAATTTTTAGAGATGCAAGCAAGAAAGCAGCAGAAGTGGAAGAGTGTGCTAGGACTGTCCCCTTCACCTCAGAGCTGACGCAATCCCTTGTACCTTTGGGGCCACCTAAATCCACAAGGTCTTTCCTTACAAAAGATTGGCTGATTGCCAAACAGAGCGGGAGGGGGATGCTGACTGACTCTCAAACCTAACTGTTATTTTTGGACTCTTCTAGAAATAAAGCTTAACATCTGCGCAGGATTTCTAGAAACTTAAAATATAGTGGATGTTTGCGATGGTCAGACACCTTTACTGGGTGCTGGCTGTTGGGTGACCAGTGACTTTTGAGTCACTACCTGTCTGCTTCTGAAAATGCCATGAGTCTAAGAAAGTGATTTAATCCAAAATATTTTGTTATATCTCATCAGTGTAAGAAACAAAATATAAATGTTTTACTATGTATTTTTCTATTTTTAGCTTGTGTCATTTGCTCTTTGTTTTTAACTTTGTAGTACATTAAAGCTTTTTTTATATGGTGGAATAGACATTTCTTAAATATTGTATGGATATGAAAATTCAGAAGTCTTGGTTTGAAGAAATTACATTCCATTTTGGAATCTGTAATGGCTGGAAAAAGGATGTGTGGACTAATTCATTGTTGCTAATTTAGAATACCTGTGGAACAACCAGTCTTCTGCTCATTGTTAAATATCTTTGGGACATTGAACTTAGTTTATTTCTTTTAGATTTGCTTTAAAAGTTTATTTTAAAATTCTTTCACTTACTCTAATTAAACTTTTTCTAGGTATCACAGCAGCTATAGAGCTGTACTTATTTTTACTGGCACAGTGAGAATAGATCATTGATCCTGTTCGTCTTAAAACTGTGTTTGTACTTTACCAAAGGTTTTAATTTTTTAAAAAAATCTGATTATTGGTGCAGTAAAAAAAAAGAATTCTGGATATGCTTTAGTCAATCAGACCATCTTATCAGAAAAATTTTGTTACACCTTAAATAAGACTACTTTTATGAATAAGTGATTTGTCTGGCTGAAGTTACTCGTTTTTCCTTATTTAACTGATGACAATGTGACCTGTCTGCAATAAAATGTGCACTGTCTGACTTCTAAGCTATATTCTTTCCCCGTGCTCAAGCATTTATGTGGAAGTATATCCCATCCCTGTGAAAACAAGGTATCTGGATTGGATGGCTCTTCAACTATGTAACCGTTTTAGTAATGATTTTCTCTGTATTAGTACAGACTTTGATCCCGCTGCTTGATCTCAGTGATACTGAGTTTCTTTCCATAATGTTCTTTTTTCCCAGTACTGCTTTTACTAAAGGATACTGTTACACTGATTTCCTTGGGAACCAAATAGTTCTCTACCCACTCATAGCAGGGCCGGCTGCAAACCTCAGGGCTTTGAGGGTTAATTCTGCCTCCCCAGAAAAAGCCTAGGATACCTCTGGCTTAGTGATCTGCTGCTGCATTCCTTTGCCTGGAGCCTTCTGGATGTCACTGTCCAAAGAAACCGTGCAGTACAATCTATCCAAACTCTTCCACCTCATTCATCGCAGGTGATAGGAAGCATAACTTGTGTTTCACACGCATGTACCCAAGATGAATTACAAACTGAGAACACCCAAGTATTGATGTGTCAGCTTTAGAGCCAGCACTTTGTGAAGTAACTTTTAAGGCTTGCAGACATTTTGTGCAACGTTTTGGGGTGAGGAGGGGTGGGGAGTGGCAAAAGCAGCTTCTCTTTTGAATGCCCCATGCTGATGCCTGAATCTGTGTTATACCAACACAGCTCTCACAGTGAGCTCCCTTCCCACCTCAGGCCGTTATCAGAGCAATCTGCATGGAAACGCGTCTGAGTTGTTCGGGCTTCACAGACCGGGACTCCTTCGGCTATGAGATTAAATTGCCTAACTGGGCTGTAAAGGTGGGCGGCTGAGGGAACAGAGGCGCGCCAGCCCTCCTTAAAGGGCAAATCCTCCATAAGCGCTCGCGGAGAGAGAGCCGCGTTTCTGTCCCAACGCTTCCGAGAGGCGGCGGGGGCAGCGGGGCCTGAGCTTCCACCAGCCAGGGCGACTCCGTGCCCGGACTCTGGCGCTGAACTCAGTCCCGGAGCGGCCGCTTCCCGTCTCCCCGGGCGCGGGGGCCTGGGTTTGGAAGGTGGCTCCGCCCGCCGGGAGCGCGGCTGCGCCGGCTCGCCCCGGTCATGTGAGCGGCGGCGGCGGCCCATCCCGGCGGGAGTAGGGGTGGGATGGCGGCGGCGGCGGCCGGAGCGGGCGAGGGGGCTGGAGCCGAGCTGCCGGGCGCCTGCCCCGGCGCGGACAGCGGGAATGTGTCCCAGAGCCACAGCAGCGCCTCCGGCCTCGGGGAGCCGGAGGACGAGGACACCTCGGAGGCGTCGCTGAGCGCCACCGCCGCCGCCTACTCCGCGTACCTGCTCGCCGACCGCAGCCTCTTCAGCGAGCAGGTGGGCGAGGGACCGGGCCGTCTCGGGGGGGTCCTGCCGAGCTCCCCGGAGACAGGGAGCAGCGGCGGGCCCGGCGCCGGGAGGGGAGGGGGTATCCTGGGAGCGCAGCCCTCTGGAGCTGGGCACGCTCCTGCTGTGGTGCTGTGCAGGACAGGACGTACCGGTGTGTCGAGTCCCTTGTGCTCAACAAAGACAAGGAGGGGAAAGCTGCGGGATGTCTGTGAGACTCGTTTTAATGTGGACGATGTCTGTACTCGGTAGTGTTATTTCTGAGAATCTGGTTTTCGTGTTTTCAAGTACCTTTAAAGGATTTCTGTTTTGCAGATAGAAAGCTTAGACAAGAGTCTAGAAGACTTACTGACCAGAGTGGATGAATTCGTGGGAATGCTGGACATGGTATGTGTAACTTGCATGTAGTTGCGTTTTCAATTAGTGCTTATGTAAATAAGACACGGAGAGGAAGAAGCCTTCCGTGTAGGTAGGTTCAGTATGAAAACACGTTTGGTAATTAGACAGCTTGTGGATGAAAACTGCCAAATTTCATGTCAGAGCAAAATATGGCCATATAGCTTTGTGGTCATACAGTCATATAATTGTTTAGGTTGGAAAAGACCTCTAAGATAGAGGCCAACTGCTGACCTAGCACTGCAAAGTCCACCATTAAACCATGCCCCTAAGCATCACATCTACACATCTTTTAAATACCTCCAGAGACAATGACTCCACCAACCACTTCCCTGGGCAGCCTGTTCCAGGGCTTGACAATCCTTTCAGCGAAGAATTTTTTCCTAGCTGCTTATTTACTTAGCTTTATTTGTATATTTATCCATGTACCTACAGAGAATCCCATTTTGACTGGTGAAATGACACGTTTGAAAGAACAATATGATATTCTGCTTTTCCTTTAAAATACGTAAAGGTACGCTCCGTGGGTTTTATAATCAAAGTATCTAATCAGAGTTGCCAAACCTCCAAAGCTAGAGGGGGACCCTAAAAAACAAAGACAGCTTTGTTTTCACTTTTGCATTGGGTTAGATGGGGGAACTGAATGAAAAGTCCCTATGAGCTGACACTGGTATACAGGCTGTCTTTTAAAGCATAGCACATGTAGTTCTGCACAACTCTAAGGGGAACTTCATCCTAGGATTTTTTTATTTTAATAGCGGTAAACCAAGACTTTGTGTCCTGACTTTTTTAACAAACCTGAGGAAAAGTACCGGTAGTAAAATTTAGGTAAAAATTTTAGTTTAATGTGTCTAGTTCTTTAGTATGTCTTGGAAAATGTTCCATCTCAGTTCTAAGGAGATGTAGTAGCCTACTTTTAATATAACTATAAAGATAAATATTAGCCTAGGCAAAATAAATTTTCTTCAAAATTACTTCAAAATTATACAAAAAAGTTAGTGTTTTGGTTTTAATCTAGTATTTCTGTACTAATTTTAATCTGGTGTTTTTAAACTCTGAATTTTAATCTGTTGATTGGAGCACAGTTCTAGTTTCCAGAATGAAATCTATTAAACACTTTGTTTTATTCATTGATTTTTGTATTATTTCTTTGAATTGTCTTTAGATTCGAAGTGATTCCTCTCAAGTTGTCAATGAAAGTATACCTCAAATTTACACAAAAGCAGTAGAAATGAGGCAGATATATAGGAAGATTGACAAACTAGAGGTAGGTATTTGATATCTTCTAGATGCATTCTGTTCCCAAACAGAAGGGGGGGAGAATCAGTGATGTGCCATGTCTGTGTGTGTGTTCATGCATGCATGTGGGGTGGGCTCAGGCCAGTTTTGTTCTCCCTGTCCAATCTGGGTTCAATACTTCAGGGTTAATAACGAGAACACAATTTATTAATAATTTCTGGACACTGTAAGCATTCTAAACATTTTTGGTTCTTTTTTTAACATCTTTTTTTAAAACATCTATTAAAAAAAAAGGATTTTTGTTTATTGACTGCTCAAAGCAAGGCAGTTTTTATAGTCTTTCAAAGTTACTGTCCTCAGAGACAAATAGAATGAGAGGTCTTTTGATTTCTGATAAAGCTTCAAAATTGTGATACAGATCCTTGTGTTTTTTTTTTTAGTAGTAGAAAGTCTAGATTCTAAGAAGTCCAAATGAGTTACTTAACAGGTAAATAGAAAGACTGATTGTTTTATTAGATTTAACCTGGTTTTCAGCCTTTTAAGTGTCTCAAGTAATTTTTAGCAATAAAATGGACTTGTAGGTGGAAAGGAAACAGAACATGAAGTTCTTGACTCCTCATTTAAGTAATGGATCGTTCACCACTGTTGTGCAATACATAATCCTGTTTTGTTAGTGAAAAAGTCGTATTTCTGTTGCTTTTCTTTCACACTAGGCTTTTGTGAAAATGATTGGAAATAGCGTAGCTGGACTGGAAGAACGGGTCATAAAGGCAGAAACAGACCTTGGAGCTTTTCCAAGCACATTCAAGAAAATCTTGCACACAATCAGCATGCCATCCTTCCTTAATGTAAGTAAACTTTAGTTACCATGTGACCAGCTTAGTTGCTCTACTTACTAAAGTAGATTATTAAATTAATAGTAAGTTTGTTACATATGCATCTGAATTTAACTGTAAAACTTTTATACACTTCATTAGGATTTTTACAAAGTTTTCAGGCTTAATTGAAAGAAAAAAACCACAGCCAAACTTAAAAATCACAATTCCTTGCAAGGATTTGTGTAACTTAGCAAAACAAGTCTGAGACACAAAGAAATGAACGTGAAGGGCACAAACAAGCACATAATGCACAAGCCTTTATACTGAAGCACCCCTGATCTCTGATGATATGCAAAGCAAGTAGGAAGAGCCTGTACAGGCAAGACTGTTAAAGGATAGTTAGTTAATTTCTCATCTCATTACTTCATTTTCCTTGATGTTTAAGTTTAGAGTGCTGTCATTTTTTTCTTTTCAAAAAAAACCAACACAAAGCTGCTATTTATAGGCCAGTTACAAAAACAAACAACTACATAAGTAGCCTTCAAGAATATTCAACAGTATTTTCTGTTTGTTTTTTTTTTCCTAAAACAGTTATCAACCAAGGAAATATAATCTTTCAATTGAAAAGTTTGGTAGTTCTAAGAAAGTCCCTTCTTTTTCAGTGTTGCATGGGAGCACTTCATCAGCTTAGCTGTTTTTTCACAATTATTAAGGAGAAAACTCTTTAGAAGTGTCAGCAAGCTGACATGTCCAGTGGTTTCTTAGTTTGAGTATGGATAGCAATAAAAAAACACTCAGAACTTACTGGCATTAATTGATTAGCTAAAAGGCAGGTTACTATTCTACAGTGCTACTGGATATTGCATAGTGAAATACCTACTTTCACTAGTAAACACAAGCATATCTGAATGAAAATGCCTATAGACATTTCTCCTCATGTTTTGGAAAAGAAGGCTCTTCTCATGTCATGATTTTCATTGTAGCTGTAGTTTGTATTTTCCAGGTGCAGTTTTAATTTAGTCAAGGTCCCCCCCATTTCCCTTTAAATGTATCTGTTTCTTTATAAAAAGGATATATTTTGTATTTCTCAAGCTGTGTATTTGTAATCTCACTTTCGGATTTTGCCCAAAGTTCTTCCCTTGTGAATACCAGTCAGTGTAAAGTACACTACTATAAGACTTCTAGTATCACTAAGGATGTAGACTCTCAAAAGATAAAAACATTTGCTAAGCAGCTGCAAAAATAACTAGTCATAAATGTGTGCTTAGGCAACTGTGGGTACTGTGCCTGCCTATGAATTTCCTCACTGGATTGAAATTATCCCCTTCTTGCACATAGGCAAATATAGCACCTCTTAAATCAGTGGGTTGCAGAAGACTTGTGACCTTAGTTTCCCTTTCTTGCAAGGTGTTTTCTCATAGGACAGTACAGGATAGAAGATGATTGTAAAAATCAGAACTTTGATTTCAAAGGTTGCTTTTGCATTTGGAAAAATTTGTGATGTAGAGAACACTGATTATATCTACTATTTATAGATCAGATCTTTGTTTATATTTTTTAATTTCATTGCAACTTGAATGCCAAAACAAACTTAGAGAAATTAATATTATTGTAAAATTAACAACATATAATTTAATAAATCAGCAATTTTGTATATAACAGGAATTTATGTACTTATTTCATATGGAGTACAAGTATACAGCTCAACTGAATATTCCACTTTACTGTTTTGTAGGTATGCTTACTTATATCATCATCTTGGTATTGCAAAAGCATTCCAAACTCCAAGTATGCTAATAATATTTGGTATGCTTTAAACTTTATTATTGGTGAAGACTTTAATAAATCTTAATTTCAAGCATTCTATTGAAGGCCATTTATTGAAAACATACACTGGGTCTGTGTTGTGTTGCAGCATTATTTACATGCAGCAAGACTGACGCAGTAATCAGTAGTGGTCCTTGTCTCCTTAAATGAGCCATTTGGTATAGCAAAACAATGTACAGTTAATATTTCAAAGAAACATGTACACTTTTCCTAAAAAACAGTGTAGCAGCTCTTTTCCAGTGCACTACCAGATTATTTTTAGCTGTATGTCATATGAAGAAGCTCAACAGGAGCAGCAGCCTTCTTGACAGCAACATCTGCTAGGTGTGTTTCTATATGAAGACTTTTTTAACTAACTAAATGAGAACATAAGCCTAGGGGTAACTCAAAAGAAGCAGCTGGTTTGGCTCCTGCAACACTGGCATATCATACACCTTCCAGGACTGAGTCTGTTTAGGTGCTGGAATGACAAGCATCAAAACCTGCATTTCTTCAATAACATTAAGAGTATGCCAGACTCATCTGAGCTATGGTTAAGAATTCACTTGATTAAGGAGATAAACCTTAAGAACTTCTGTTGTTTTGCATTTTAGCTCTGTAGGCTTTGTTTTAAAATGCTTTTTTAAAAAGGCAAAAAATAAACCTGTCTGATTTTCAGAAATCATCTTCCTCGCGACAACAACAGATGCTCTATGAACCTCCAGTCCTCTTCAAGACTGAAGACTATTTTCCATGTCTTAATGAAGCACCTTATTGATGATTTTTTCTTTGGGATTGATATGAATCAGCCAGAATAGAGACAGCCAAGTGAACAAAAGAAATGCTAACCTCAAAACAGCTGCATTTCTGGGCACTATTGATGACATATTGCCATTCTGGTTCTCATTGTCTTCCTTCAGGCAGTATTTTCAGGTAATCTTTGTTTGTGTTCATTATTTCAAAAATCTTCCTAAAACACCATATAAATTTTCAGATTATTTTGGGGAGAGAATTTAAGAATACTTTGCCATTAATTTTTTTTTTAATAGGAAAATAATAGGAAACATACTTTTATATATAAATTCTTTAACACGTAAATGTTTGTGCTGCTGCAAGTGTAAATAGCTATACCACAAGGATGGTTGTTATTTTGGGTTTTTTTCTTAATGTAATGATGGAGGTGAAAGAAAAACTATGCATAAAACCATCTACTCCAAGGTTTGAAGCCTGGTCCCTGCAGTTTGTACAGAGAAATGCACCACATTTGGGGTATACTAGTTGCAAGGGAGGAAGAGGAAGCTCATCAAGGACATGACTGGATCATAGAATCATAGAATCAGCTGGATTGGAAAGGACCTCCAAGATCATTAAGTCCAACTCTTGATCCACATAATCTAGTCCCAGTTCACAAAGCGAACATCCTGCTCCCACTGACGATCCTCAGATCACAGTGACCAAGCCTCTAATTAGTGCATCATTGTATTGTTTAATGTGTAGCCAGGTGGACATGAGATAGATACATCTATGTCTATAGATACATATAAAACAAACATGCTGAAAACTTGAGGCAGGGATGTGCCTGACTGAGCCTTAGTCAGGCACCTCACCGGGGTGTTTTCTTTTCCCTCACAACTCTCCATGTGGTTACTGGGACTTGCTGATTGCAATTTATATTGTCAATAAACTAATAGCTATCTAAACCCTGTTGTGGTCTTGCATTTCACTGGGCAGTATTGGATGGCCCCATTCTTTCTGAGAACCTTTTTGCATACAGCCTCATATAATACCTAGGAGGTGTTAATCATAAATTGTCATGAGAAATACCCAAAATTCAGATTTTGGAGGAATAAGGAATGCTTTAGGGAAACAGTATGTCTGCACAGAAAAGGGTATGGATTTGCAGAGCAAGGATTATATATTAATAGATAAGGCTTTGAAAACCTTATGTTCTTGTCTCCAAACAGCAGAAGGGACTGGGTTGTAAGCAATATCTGAAACAACACTGAGTAAAAATGAAAACAAAGATCATGAAGTCAGAATTAGTAGTCTCCAAAAGCAGTCCTGATGTAAAACTTATCTGAATTTTAACATAAAAGAGTCTAGAAAAATAATTGTATGTAAACATGCAGAAAGGAACAGACATGACATTGAAGACGGGCTCCTCTTCCACCTCCCATACTCCTCACTTTCATAAATAATTCACTATTCAGATGTTTCACTGCAGCAACAATTGCATTTCTAAAAGGTGTGGTACCTTTCAGTTTATGCATAAATAATGCTTGAAGGTTTATCCCTCAGTGAGATCTAATGAAATTACATACCTCTAACTCGGTGTAGCAACAGAAAGCTACAGTCAAATACTCTCAAGTGCACTAATGCTGGCATGGAAAAAAAAAAAGATAACTTTAGAACAGCTTTCTAATTAAATGAATCAACTGCTCAGATAAAAGCTTTGTCCTCTGCTAAGGTGAGCCAAAATGGAGTTGCATTTAAACAGATAATATTTTAAATAGTAAAGTTTTCAGTAAGTTTATACAGCTTATATATTTATATATTTGTCTTACAATATTGTTCATGTTAATGAGAGAAAAAAGTCATATATTCTGAAGTGGGAGTTTATGTTAAACAGCTGTATGAAAAAAAAAGGGCTGTATCTTCAAAGCACACCACAAACAAAAATCATGCAGTTCCTGTAGTTAGTATAGTTCTATGTTGGAAATGGTCCAAAATATTTTTTATTACTGAAAATAATGGACAGTACATGGAAGATTCATTAAGAAAATACTATAAAACTACAGACAATAAATAAAGTATGGCTTTTTTAAATACATGATACAGAATAGCAAGGTCACAGTTCACCTGTGAGCTATAGTCTAGAAAAGTTGTAAAATTAAGGCATTCTCATAACACTGACAAAATGCGCAGATGCACTCTGCTGTTGAGTTTGTACCGCCTTGGCTGTCTCCTTCATGATCAGTCTCACAAGCAGGAATAACACAAAAAAAATCCCAAGTGTTCACACTGAGTAAAGAAAGACTGTGAATATTCCTTTATCTATCTGCTGTAGTTACCTTATATTAGTGTAGAACCAGTAATAACTATATTATGAATTAGGCTCAATATTTACTGTTTCTGCCAGCTGTAAATAAAATCTGAATCTCAAAATCTACTGAAACCAATATTCATAGACCCAGAAATCCATAATTGTGTCTTTCATTGCACAATGTTTGTCTTTCTCCTTTTGTTTGAGTTCCAAGATGCAAGCCAGGAACTGTAGGGCTTTATTACTGGTTTTTAACATGAAGAGCTCTTCAGCTCGAACTGATGTAAAGCAGGATGTGATTACTGCGCTGAGCTGCTAAAGGTTGGTTATCAAGCATATGAAATGAGCTAATGTTTAATATCAAATTATTAAAATCAACACAAATCTTACTTTTCTTCTATGGCATGAAGCAAACATTTTAAAGCAGTTCCAGCAGAAGTAATGGTAAAAGTTTTTATATCTTATAGTTACATACATTTTAGGCTAATGTTAATTAGCATTAGCCTAATGCTAATTTAAACTAATGCTGCAGCTTTCTAAAAGATACATATATCATTTAGTCTACGATGTATGTAAATATGTAACAGAAGCTCTATTCACAAGCTGTGCAGATTGGACTGAATGTCAGAAGTCTGCATTTTTCATAGCTCCTGGACAAAAATCAATGTCATCTGTCTTATATAAATATTTAGTTATATGATAAACTATGGCTGAAGTAGGCACATAAAGATTGATATTTGTATTTAATTATTTTTAGACCGACATATTTTGTTCCACTTGAGTAGTGCTGCAATAAAGCGCAAAGAAATTACAGATGAATGCGCATTATGGAAATGAGAAGAAACAGATTTGATGATTCATCTGACCAAAAAATATATAAATTGTTTAAAGATGCACTAGATTACATTGACATCAAAACCTGTGGCATTTCATTACTTTTGCTGACAATAACCACCAAGGTTAAGGAGTGTTACCTGCACTACTAAGAAATTAGTAGCAAACTTAATTTGGACTCTGTCCTGCACAGGAACTGTTTCCAGATACTAAGCTCATAAGCTGTAGAGAGTGATCCTGAGTGAAAGACCTTCCAGAATGAGAAAGAAGAGCAAGATAGCTTGCGTCTTCACCTATGAAAATAACTTTATATTTGAAGTTGGTAAATATTTTAAGATTCCCTAAAAAAAAAAAAAAAGAAAAAAATAGAAAACATTTTTTAAGTGATGAGATTTCTAAACTCCCTCAGTTTTCAAAGAAAAGAAAAGAAATCTAGTCTTAGACCAGCTACCACGAAAATCCCATGTACCCAGACCAAAGCCCTGCCTTGAAAAGCCAAAATCCCTTTCGGATATATCTGTAGTCAAAGAGGATCATAATGGGAGTCAGTAATCTTTCTAGCCACTGCAGCTAAATCCTTCAGGTATCTGGAGTTTTCAATGGCTGGGATTCACATCCCTGTAGGAGCTGAGCTGCTGTGGCAGGCTGTGCTGCAGTGGCAGAGCAGAGGCCTTGTCCATGCAGCTGCTTTTGTTGATGCTACTTTAAGCCGATGGGTGGTAGTACAGCCTAAAGATGGTAGTACAGCTGATCAGCTCCAGCTGATCTCAGAGATTAGGGGAGTTTTCTTCACCTTTTGCTTGGGGTTATCTACTCACAAACTCTTTCAATGCTGGTCATTTTGCAAAACAGTATGCAAATGGTACATGATGATCAGAGTTTTGAAAGCGCTAAGTAACAAGCAAAGCAAAAAAAGAGGGGAACAGAAGGTATTGCTCCTGGGCAGTACAAAACAACGCTGGGGAGACAGAATGCCATCACCTGGAGATACAGAATGTAAAAAAGAGAAATTGAAATAATGCCTTCGGAATTATAGCAGACAAAAGGATATGGTAGGAAAACCGAAATATCCACTGTCTAAAATCCACCTGGAAGACTCAAAATGACATTTAATTTTTGTCAACTTTAATATTGGCTGTACATTATTTGATGGACTATTAAAGTAATAAAAAAGACATTAAGATTGCGTAAGCAGTCATAAAATACGATGTTTTCAGTCCAATGTGCTATCCATACAGGATCTTGAATAATCTTTAAAAAAAGTATTTTGAAAATACAGGTATCTAGCTGTGCTGACATAACTAAGAAAAGGAACTGAATATTAGCAAGGATTTCCTTAGAGGGTTCTGAGTGAAAAGACAAAGGAATGAAATTCATGAGGGGAAAAAAGTGCTCGCTGGGGGAAGAAGGATAGGTATCCAATTTGATTTATCATCTCCCACGGTTCAGAAGCTGTAGGTTTCTTGAGAATAGCTTAATGCCTACATTATTTAAAAATAAATTAATTGCCATCTGTTCCTTACAGGTGATACCATCAGGAGTTTTTTACAAGCAAGAGGTCTAGAAAGCAACCTCAAAGGAAAAGCAAAAGCAGAAATTCCCACAATCCTAGGACTTTAAAACTGAGGGCTGACACTAAATATGACAGGAGTACCTGAAATGTTTCTCTGAATGTGAGTGAATCTAAAAGGTTTGCAGAGAACTGCAGGATGGCAGAAAAGCTGGTTCTGATTGATTCATACAAAAAAAAAAAAAAAAGAAACGAAAAAAGGAATGGTAAGAGCCTTATTCAGGAATGGAAGAGGCAGAAAATAGCATAGCCAGGAGATAAGCCAGGACCCATTCTAAGGCATAAACTTGCAGTGACAGAGCTGTGAGCAGCATGAACAGATGAGGGCAAGATCCGTGAACTGGAAGGTGTGACTGAAGGTCCACAGCATACATGACAAACACGATATTGTTATTTATTCACAGTTTAGGACCTTGTTTTTATTTTTATTTTTTTTGCTTCAGGGTGCACTATTCCCAAGTCCAGTCTTAGGAGGGGCTTTAACTGTGCTAGAACTGTGGACCAGTTCTAGTCTGTGTGTCTGGACTGGGTTGCTGTTATTTCCTCTTGTTACTGCCTCTCTCATGAAAGCAGTAGGACTTGCAGTTAGAGTTAGCCAGACCATTGGACTGTTCTGGCTAAAAATCAGTCCTGCCAAGCCAAACAGTCCAACCCCAGTGCTGGTGACCTGGCACAAGGGTGGGGGGTGACACTACTCCCAGCCATCCCCCTGAGAGGGCAAGCAAAGCACTTTCCCTGGCAATGTCTCCCCATGTACAGCCTGGGGGATGCCTGCTATGGAATTAGCATCTGTTTCCCTCATGTTTCTTTGATTAGCCCTTTCCTCTACAGGGATGGTTTTGCAATTTGTTTGGAAGCATGGAGGGAAAGAAGAACAAAAAAAAATTAGGCATTGGGAATAGCCTTTTGGTTGTCATTACAGAGATGTCTGTGTGCCTGCTCAGATGCTTGCTTCCAGCAATGTTTTATCAACTCAAATACAGTGGTTCAACTGCAAATGATAAGCAGTGCCCTTATTCTTGGTGTCAGAGGTTGTTGGGAATTTTTTGGAAGTGCCTGTAGCATCTAAAATCCAGTATATTATTAAGGGAAAAAATATTTGAGGGGAAAAATACTAAACAATATAATTGAACAAAAACTATGTTTTCTTTCTGGATTTATTAGCTTGACTTTTCCTGGATTTAATTGTGTTTCTGTAGTCAAAGGAAGGAAAACACAAAGCCATAATGCCAGAGAAATCTTGCCTAAGGAAA